ATTTTTTTAATGCAGATAAAGTATTATTCTGGGCAATGACTTCAGACCCTAGGCTATAGTTAGCAGCTGATGAAGAGACGATCAAGCTGAAAGATAATATCTAACCAGGGAACTGACTGGACTTTTTACTTTGCTTTTTCAAATGTGGAAAACCCAGGAGCCAGTCCCTTGCTGGCGTGAAAGGAAAAGTAGACCAGATGACCAATGCATCCTTCAGCTCTGCAGTCAGAGTAATCATCGCTCTGCCCCCTAATTTTCCTGTCATTGTAGGAACTATAAATGGCATTCTGTGAGACCACAAATTGCTATGGAACACTTTGTGCATGAGGGAAATTCTCTCATTGTGTAAATGGATCAGTTGCCACCCTAAAATTACTGGCCTCTCCCTGACAAAGTGACGTGGGAACCTTGCTGTTGCCAACTGGCTTGTGTAGAATCAAACTCACTTTACAGGAAAAAAGCTTTTTCAATCTTACGGTCCCTCAAAACAGGGGTTGTCAATTTTGGGTCAAACCAGTGAGCTGAAGGAGTAATCATTTTTTCTTTTAGAAATGGCTATCTCCAGGACTGTCATAGTTCAAGAAAAGAGAGTAGGTTCCCCTTAATCAGCTGAGAGTACCTTTCTATGTTCTTCTCCTCACCATGATTGTAGACCTAAACTCTCTAAAATTAGTCCCCCTAACTACCTGTCCTACTCAAGGGAGGTAGTTAGTTTGCCTAAAACAAACTAGGAGGTAAACACATCTTTCTCTACCTCCACACTGCCTTGTTCATGCTTGCAAAGTAGCTCAGCTCACTTTCCTCTAATTATTTGTCTCCCCACTAAATTGTAACACCCCAGAAGCCAGAAACTATATTCCATACAACTTTATAGCCTGTGAAAAGACCACAATACCTGGTGCATGGTCCGTTCTTAATAAACATTTATAGTTGTGTGTATCTTCTAAATAATAATTTACTTGACCTTTTATAAGAGACAATTTAAGTATAGTTTTCAGATACCAGTTAATAAAGGTAGATTTCTTTCATGAGACTGAAACCTACCCAGTAGTCCTATAGATAGCTTTTTTTGATAAACACAGAAATTGACCCTTCTGGTCTTAAAGTTTGAAACTTACCAAATCATCACATCCAGATCATGAGAATCCAAGCCTCCCAAAAAGTTTCAAAGAACTGCAACTCACTAGATCATTGCATCCAGAAAATCAGACACCAGGCCCCTCATTCATCACGATGTTTCCTTACCCTTCCCAAGTTCCTGTTTTTCCACATAGTTACATTTCTTCCCTGCTATATGAACCCCTAATTTTAGTGAGATGGATTTGAGAGTGCTATCCCGTCTTCTTGGCTGCAACACCCGATTAAAGCATTTTGTATTGGCAATACACATCTCAGTGATTGGCTTTCTATGTGGTGAGCAGCAGGACCTAGACCAAACTCCCACTGTTTCAGTAATAATACTCCATTGTATGTCCTCTGGGCTGGGCAGCTAGAGGACACTGAGGACTAAGACACTGCCTATGGTCCAGGGAGCTCACAGCCTAGTGGGGAAACACACTTGAAGACATATCATTACAGTGCTAAAGTAGAGAAAGAAATCAAGTGCCATGAGAGCACAAGGGGAGCAAACAATTCAGTTGGGAGTAGCCTGGGAAGACTCCACACTGGAGGTGACTTTTAAAGTGGTCTTGGCATAGGGAGTGAAACAACAGACATTACAGACTTGGAAGGGTGGGAATGTGGGAGGGAGGTGAGGAATAAGAAATTACCTAATGGGTACAATGCACATTATTTAGGTCATGGTTACACAAAAGGCCCAAACTTCACCACTACACCATATATCCATGTAATAAAACTGTACTTGTATCCCATACATCCATAAAACTAGAAAATAAAAACAAAATAAAAGTGGTCTCAAAATATAGGTAATATTTGCCAGGTTTAGGAGGTCAAAAGGAATTCTGAGAAAAAGGAACAACTGCTGGGCATGGTGGCTCATGCCTGTAATCCCAGCACTTTGGGAGGCCAAGGCTGGAGAAGCATTGAGCCCAGGAGTTCAAGACCAGCCTGGGCAACATAGTGAGACCTCGTCTTTATAAAAATATAAACAAAATTAGCCAGGTGTGGTGGTGTGTTCCTGCAGTCCGGGTACTCAGGAGGTTGAGGCAAGAGTATCAGTTGAGCCTGGGAAACAGAGACTGTAGTGAGCCATGATCATGCCACTGCACTCCAGCCTGGATAACAGAGTGAGACTCTGTCTCAGAAAAAGAGAGAGAGAGAGAGAAAGAGTGGAACTTTATTTTCAGAAATTGTTCCTAACAGGACGGAGAAGAATGCACCTTCAGGGCCATGCTCCTGCTCTCCCTACTGGGTCTGCATGCCCATTCCTCAGCCTCAGCACGTGGGATGGACTTTCAAATTAAATCTCCTCACAACTACTTCACAGTCTCATTTATCTTTCCTGTCCTGCATTTGGGAATCGTGGCTTCCAGTAAGCAAAGGTAGGAAATCTCTGGATGGTCAGTTAACTTAAGGCATCATTCTCAAAAGGAAGAAAAAGCCTCCTCCTATCATGACATCCCAAGTGACTCCAGTTTTTCCTTATTTGTAGAGTAAGAGATTCTTTTCACTAGAGAAGGCATCAGAGACCACCATCTGCCCCCATAGGGCCTTGCTAATCCAGCCACTACACACTCCTCCCTCTCTTGTGTTAGCTGAAGTTCTGAGCTTCAAAGACTCCTAGAAAAAAAGTTCTGGGGCATAGCTAGGAAACTTGCTAGAAAGAATCTCACATGAACCTGAGAATGCAGCCAGTGGAAACAAAGGAGGTATCTTTTGTCACATTCTTCTTCCTCACTGCCATTTTATCACCCACTCCTGTATCTGAAATGACCTCCTACAAAGCCCTGAGGACAAGACTAGCTACCAGAATGGATGTATAGTAGCACCATACATTTAAAAATTCTGGTTAGGTTATTATTTTAAATCAAGGCCACCATTAAATGTGCTTCTAAATTGTTCCTTTGAACTGCAGTCATTCTGGTTTAAGTGGCCTGGGGGGAATACATTAAGCTGACTTGCATCATCAACGAAAATACAACACTTAGATATACATCAACTTTAAGAGACTTTGACCTATGAAAGTTCTGATTCATCTCCTATATTTTGTGTCTCTCTTTGCCCTTGGGGTTCTCTCATGTCAGTCTTGAGAGTTTTTCAGCACTTAATGCTCTAAGGCTTCTGTGGGGCACCTCGCTTAGGCCTTTTTCCTCTCTCTAGACAGAGATTTATCAAGCTGTATGTAGAGTAAAATCGCCTGTTTTTGTTTTGTTTGTTTTGCTTTTATTTCAATGCCCAGGCTCCACTCCAGACCAAATGAATCAGAATCTTTAGAACTGAGGGCAGAGTGTTGATATTTTTTTAAAAACCCCAGAAAAATCTATTATGTAGACAGGACTGAAAAATCACCACTCCAGACAGTTTAAAAAAAAAAACTTGCAGAAGCTGTAGAACCCTTTGTCCAAGTGCACTCTTACATAGAAACCCAAAGTACAAAAGAAATTAGACTAGGGTTGTTTTGGTGGATGAAGCGTGAGTGTGGAAGAAATCACACACCCATCTGGACTCCATAGGACCTGTAGGGCTTAGGGGAGCACTGTCTAAAAACAAATGTTCCATCTTCTCCATTCCATCAAAATGTCCCTTGTCCAAAAGCCACTCCTTTAAGCCAGAGATTGACAATTTTTTCTTGTAAAGGGGCACTAAGCAAATATCTTAGGCTTTGCATCTCTGTTGCAACCACTCAACAACACTATTGTTGAGTGTGAAAGCGGCTACAGATGATACAACAATGAATGTGCATGGCTGTGTTCCAATAAAACTTTATTCACAAAAAACAGCCTACGGACCAGATTTGATCTACCAGCAGTCATCACTTACCAACTCCTGCTTGAAAGCACTACATTCTCCTAAATACTTTATAGTTCATCTTACAAACTAAATATATCCATGTTTTATTCCCACCCAAGTTACATTTGTACATTTTAACTGGAGGTCTCTGATCAAGGCCGGTAATACCAAGAATTTGTTTTCTTGGATTGCTTTTGGCAGGACCAATTCTGGGGAGTAATTATTGGTGGGAAGGGGAGATCTACACAATGGGCTGACCTGGAATGGTCGTAACTCAATCTACAGTGTCTTCTGAATTGGAGTTTAAAGAGAGTAGAACAGAAATCCCTCCAACCATCTGGAAGTCCCCAGCATAAGGTAATGATGTTAGGAAGTGGCAGCTATAGTCATCTTGACCACTTTGTCAGGTAATCATGTTGTCATGCTGGGGTACAAAATGCGTTGGCCAGGAACAGTGGCTCATGCCTGTAATCCCAACACTTTGGGAGGCCGAAATGGGATGATCACATGAGGCCAGGAGCTCCAGACCAGCCCCTGGCCAACATGGCAAAACCCCATCTCTACAAAAAATACAAAAATTAGCTGGGTGTGGTGGCACACATCTGTAATCCCAGCTACTCAAGAGGCTGAAGCAGGAGAACCGCTTGAATCCAGGAGGTGGAGGTTGCAGTGAGCCAAGATTGTGCCACTACACTCCAGCCTGGGTGACAGAGCAAGAAAAAATATGCCAAAGTCTGCCTTGTTAGCTTGTGAGAGCTCAGGCTTTGTGCTCAGACTTCTCTGAGCTGAAGATCACGTCAGGTTCAGCTAAGAACAAAGCTGAGCAGCAGCGTTCCTGGCTGGCTGCACGTGCTTCCATTGTAGAGTCCACGTAAACAGGCTCTTCAGAATTTAGGGATTTGTTTTTGCCTCTCTACAGTTTCAAAGGTGCATTTACCTTTGTGCTGTCCAGCTCGGGCTTCAGTTTCTTCTGGGCCACGTTCAGGACTGATTGTGTTCCTCTGCTGAAGGAACAGCTCTCTCTTCCCTGGACATGTTGCTTCTCATGCCACAGCTCATTTACTGAAGAGCTTTTTTTTTTTTTTTTTTTTACCTATGGCCCCCTGTAAGTAAGGAATGAAAATAAATGTTGAATCTCATTAAAGATATGAATGCTGAAGTACTTAGGGAGAAATGTACTGATATTTGCAATTTACTTTGAAATGCAACCAAAAAATGAAGATCAACTTATGGATGGAAAGCAGGATGGATGGATATGTGATAAAAAATAAGTAGGGTAAAATGTTGATGATAGAATCTAGGTGGTAGGTATATGGATGTTTGCTGTAAAATTCTTTCAACTTTGCTATATATTTGGTATATTCATTATAAAATGTTAAAAAAAAATAAATGTGGGAGTATGAAGAAAAAAATAGTTTCTTCAACCAAATTATATCAGTGCTTGATTCAAGACCTGTGAACTTGGACAAGCAGGTAAGAACCACTCTGCTTGGAGTACTAATTATGAGTGACATTACTACCAAGGAGCCTGTTTAGATTCTTTTTTTTTTTTTTTTTTGGAGACAGTCTCACTCTGTTGTCCAGTCTGGAGTGCAGTGGCATGATTTCAGCTCACTGCAATGTCTCAGCCTCCCAAGTAGCTGGGACTACAGGATTCAAATTTATATTCTATCATCATGGCCACGAAATCCTGTTAAACATCAAGTATTAAATGAAGTGTTCTAAAGTCAACATAATTTATTCTTTTCTTCTTTTTCCCTCTACTTTAGATCTCAGTGCCCAAAACTAGATTCATAGTAATTATCCTCAGATACCCTCTCATCAATGGCCCATGTATGGCTGACTTCTTTTTATTTATTATTTGGTCATTTATATTAATTGTCTGCAAACCTACACCTAAAATAAAAGCCACCACCTTGACAACCTACATCCAATCACATGGTCTCCTTGGCATCTTCTTCCATCATCTTGAATTCTCTGGTCATCATTCCCATGCTTTTATATATAAGTGTGTGTAGGAATATAGATGTTCTTTCCATATGTATGTAGTCCTTTAAAAGTACAAATCTGGCCAGGCGCAGTGGCTCAAGCCTGTAATCTCAGCACTTTGGGAGGCCGAGGTGGGTGGATCACGAGGTCAAGAGATCGAGACCATCCTGGTCAACATGGTGAAACCTCGTCTCTACTAAAAATACAAAAAATTAGCTGGGCATGGTGGTGCACACCTGTAATCCCAGCTACTCAGGAGGCTGAGGCAGGAGAATTGCTTGAACCCAGGAGGCGGAGGTTGCGGTGAGCCGAGATCGCGCCATTGCACTCCAGCCTGGGTAAGAAGAGTGAAACTCTGTCTCAAAAAAATAATAATAATAAAATAAAATTAAATTAAAGTACATATCCTTAGTTGTTTTTAACTTTAGAAAAAGGTATATTTCTCCAGGTGCAGTGGCTCATGTCTGTGATACCAGCACTTTGGGAAGCTGAGGTGGGTGGGTTGCTTGAGCTCAGAAGTTCCAGACCAGCCTGGGCAACATGGTGAAACCCTATCTCCATTTTTTAAAAAATGTGAAGATTAGACAGGCATAGTGGTGCATGCCTGTAGTCCCAGCTACTCAGGGGCTTAGGTGGGAGGATCACTTGAGTCCAGGAGTTCAAGGCTGCAGTGAGCCGAGATCACGCCACTGCACTCCAATCTGGGTAAAAGAGTAAGACCCTGTCTCAAAAAAAAAAAAAAAGATATATTTTATTTTGATGTGTATTTTTTTCACTTAGTATTATATTGCAGAAATTTATCCATACCATCGCAAAATTGCTGTGGTTCACTTGACCACTATATAATATTCAATTAGTTGAATTCATCATTTGTTTTTCATCTTCAGTGACAGGCATTTGTATCCAGATTTTAGTACTATGGATGATCTCATACCTATCCCCTACAATATATGGGCAAGAATTTATCTTGGGTCTGTATTTAGGAGTGGAAATTCTAGTTATTAGGGTATATCAAAGTTCAATATTAGGAGAAAATGCCAAACTATTTTCCAAAGTGGTTGCACCATTTCTACTTCCTCCAGTAATTGTCTTTATTGTTGGTTAGCATCCAAACCAGTGGAACATAAGATAAGCTAATGAAATGATTTAATATTACTGACACATACATAGGGTGAATAATGAAATGGAAGCTTCAAGGTATGCCTCTTAGGGATGAGAGGACAGTCAGTTGATATTTATTGGTGTTATGTCTACATAGATGTTTCTATTTCTCTCCTATATGCGCTTCTCTTGGGTTTCTCTCCATCTTAGAAGCTGTAGGAATATTTTATCCTTTTATTCATTGGCAAAACTTAGTACTTCACTTAGTACTTCACTCATAAACCCATGAGTACTAAGTGAAATAACACATGAAAATCTAGCCCAGCACTTAACCTACAGTGAGTAAAAATGAGTATGCATTTCCTTTTCCTGGTCCTCCTTCCTATGTAGGGAATTAAAGAGACAAGCAGGAGAGAAGAACAAGAAACTAATTGTCATGAGTCTGAGAAAGACCATCTTTGTGGTCTGTTTTCATATCTGAAAACAGATGGTCTCAAGCAGCACCACTGATAGGCCTGTGACCCTTCTTCACCCTCCTCTTAGGAACTTTCGCACATTTATTCTGTATATCTGTTCACCCAGGCAGGGGAAAAGCCTGCCACTGCTGCTGCAGGTGTGAGGGTCACCCCTCCCTAAAACAATTATTTTCTTACACACACCCCCCCACAAAAAAGCATTCGCTCCTTACCTTTTCCAAAGAGTTGTTTGTCCTCCTCTCTATTTCCTTCCAACCAATGAGTAGCCTTCTGGGTGGAGGTCAGAAATGCCAAATTAATTTACTTCATTATTTAGCATCCAGATATCTCACCTGGGCCTCTGGGGCTGTTAAAAAAAATAATAATAATCGCTTCAGAAAGCAAACTGGTATGATTCATTTTCTGGCTCATCCAAGTCCAGCCAGGCTGTTAGTTTTCCATTCATGTCCTGTCTGCCTCATATCTTCATGGTCTGTTTTCATATCTGAAAATAGATGGTCTCAAGCAGCACCACTGATAGGCCTGTGACCTTTCATCATCCTCTTAGGGACTTTCACACATTTATTCTGTATATCTGTTCACCCAGGCAGGGGAAAAGCCTGCCACTGCTGCTGCAGGTGTGAGGGTCACCTTAGGTTTCCTGACAGCCCTGTATTCAGTATGCTGCTCCCGCCTACCAGCCCATCTCCTCACCCAGGCAGCCTTATCCGATAGCAAGTTTCATTATGTGCAGTCCACTGGGGACTCTCCTAAAAGCAATAAATTCATTTCATTGTGCAAGTCTCTGGACTATTAAAGCATTTTAGTCCTGTTTCTCCTTTAACCTCCCATGAGCTAGATATTCACTCTGACAAAATGCTATTCATTACAAAGTTAAGATGACTTTGACTCTGTTTCCCTCGCATATAACGCAATGAAGAAAATGTATCCTGGATTAATCTACAGCCTGATGGTATTATGGATAAAAACATGCCAAGGAGGGCAGTCTTTTTCCCCAAAATGGATAGAAATGACCTCTAGCTAGCTATGCCTTGCTTAGACAAGGAGTATCTGGGAAAAAATTTGGTTTTATGCTCACTTTTAACATCCTAACCAATATATATTATTTAAAGGAGAATGATCGGGAAAAAAAATAAGATAGAAAAATGAAACATCACTGAAATGTTAAAAAAAAAATCAAATCCTTTTTACTCTGCTTTTATCCACAGATATTTTTCCATACCCTTTTTCTCCATGCTGGGAGTTAGGAAACAGGGAAGCTTTAGGGAGTTATAGAACATCTCCAGGGCTGGGCACATCACTTAGAAAGATCTTGCTGATTGATTTAAACAGAAATTATAGCAAGTTCTCCCACCGCCCCTGCTGTGGGTCTCGGCAGCTCGGGCGGTGGGAGGAGTGGCAATAAAAAAAAATGAAAAATAAAAAATAAAAAACCAGAAATTACTGTATAGCTATATTTGATTTACCATCTAAGTCAGTTGCCTGTCCAAACCCTGTTCTGACACATATCAGCACTGGGGAAATAGATTAACCTTTGCAGACTCATTCTTCATCTATAAAAAGGGAAAAATATCACCTCCCTCATAGGTTTATGAGTACTAAGTGAAATAACACATGAAAATCTAGCCCAGCACTTAACCTACAGTGAGTAAAAATGAGTATGCATTTCCTTTTCCTGGTCCTCCTTCCCATGTAGGGAATTAAAGAGAAAAGCAGGAGAGAACAAGAAACTGGATTGTCATAAGTCTGAGAAAGAAACCTTTATTATATCTATTTGACTCTAGAGATGTGATCTCTCTTCTACCTAAGCTGAAAGAATCATCTGGAATAACCACAGAAAATCTGATCACTGTGTTTGATATAGATATGTTGTTGTAGATATTCCAGATTAAAAAAAAAAAAATGGAAGAGGAATTTCTCTCTGGTTGGAAGATGGAGGATAGCCACGTGTTCCACTTGTTTTGGTCTTCAGTGTAACTGATCACACTGCCCTCTTTGGGTGTCCTGGGTTTTGTAGCTGTCTTTTCATACCAATCTTACTCCGGGTTTTATCTTAATCCTTCCCTTCATTTCTCTTCTACTTCACCCACTATTCTTCTTCTTCTTACATATTTTCTATATTGTTTTATGCTATGTACCTTGCAAGCCAACTGGAACCCTAATCTGATTACTTTGTAGATTAATTAAAACCTGCCTCTCCTGATTTTCTCCTCGTAGCTCTGCATGAGGCTCTCCCCTTACATGTTTATTGGGTACCCCTGAAGCTTGCCAGTTCATGCAGCTCAAGCCCTGTCTCATAGAACAAAGGGAGGATCTGCTGTTTCCCCGGCCATGGACATCCCCATCCCACAACAGAGAGAAATCTGGGCTGAACATTCCAGAACAACACTAGGTAAAGCCCCAAATATGGTAAGAAAATAAAAGCCAAGTCATTCACCCTCTGGCTTGTCTGTCTCATATAAGACTTTATAAGTAATTGTTTTTCTAGAAATATTCCCACTGACTCCTTTTTAAGTAATTTAAAAACATCTGATATTGTTAACCCTAGGGAGTTCCTTGAAGAGTGTGTGGAATCCATCAATAGAGTAAAACTATTTTTTTTTTTTTTAGACAGAATCTCACTCTGTCATGCCCAGGCTGGAGTACAATGGCGCGATCTTGGCTCACCGCAACCTCTGTGTCCTGGGTTCAAGCGATTCTCCTGCCTCAGTCTCTCAGGTAGCTGGGATTACAGGTGTCTGCCACCACTCCTAGCTAATGTTTTGTATTTTCAGTAGAGACAGGGTTTCACCATATTGGGCAGGCTGGTCTAGAAGTCCCAGCCTCAGGTGATTCGCCCACCTCAGCCTCTCAAAGTACTGGGATTACAGGCATGAGCCACCACGCCCCACCTAAAACCATCTTCTAATACCTTCCTAGGCTCTGGGATTACTTTTGAAGGATATCATTAGAATACTATGACTCAAGGCTAATAACAGGTGAACAAGGACAATAGAAATTTTTCCACTTAAAGTTGTGTGTTTGTGCCTCAATATGTTCAGATAGCTCATCAATTATTAACCAACTAGGAAAACTTCCAAGTGCTGCATCAAAACATACAACACCAGAATGCATTCACCCAAACAGGTTCTATTTATTGAATGCTGTTTTCTATCTCTTGGCAGCCTTGTCTTTTTAGATGATGTTTAGAAGTCTCCCTAATGTATACACTGTCAACTGAGGAGATCTCTGTTTGAAATTTTCAAATAAAAGGCTGGCAGAAACCCAAAGGCAAGTATGCTAGCTTCAGATTCTTAGAGAGATAAAAGTAGGCTGTTTATCAGCAAATCCACCTTGGTTGAGTCCCTTCAACTTGCTGAATTGGTTTAGGACTACAGTTTAGTGGTAAGGATTAGACCTGTAATACCATGGTGCAATACCATAAAAGTTAGAGCCTAAAATGTGAGTGTGAACAGAGGGATGGATATTCCTAGAGTAGAAAACTCACAATATTTCAAATGTGAATTGGTGGTATTCATTCTTGGCAGCATTGGAAATTTCACTTCATCTTAAAATCTTCTGTTTTGTTATTCTAAAAGGTAAAAGGAGTTGAAATAGGAAAGATTTTATTCAGTGTGTCTGATTTTTTTTAACCATATGCAAATATAAAGTTCTGGCTTTCAAAAAGGTACACAGTTGAGTAACATTTTGGGTGTAAAATTATGAACTTATTAGTTCTGCTCATTGATTTCCTTTTGAGATGAGCATTTTCTTGAAGTGTTACTTTCAAAGGAATAAAGAATGAGACAAGAGAATGAAGAAAAGAGGTGCTTGGTGGAAAAACAGATCCATCACAATCTTATGAGTGACTGGCCATGGCTCTGAATTTGAAACTGTATCAGAAATGGCCATAAGTTTTGGTGTGTGAAAGATGTTGAAGCAAAGCAACCAGCCCAATGAGTCATGTGGGCCCCTGCATAGGACACAGGAGTTCAATGTGCATTTACAAGAAGGCTGCTGCAGTGGCTGTTTCCACCAAAGCCACTGAGAAGGCCAGATCTCTACTCACTGAGAAGGCCAGATCTCAGGTTAGAGGCAGGTGGAGAAAGTTGGGCGCCCTATATGCAGGTAGGGAAGGTAGGATAGCAGATCCTCAGTGGAGGTATTCACCAGCAGCTTTTGCATTGTCTCACCATCAACTCCCCTCCAAGCCACAGAGGAGGCTTATGTGGTACTCCTGGGTCCCGAATGCCAAATTGCAGGGGTAACAATGCTAGTCAAGCAATTAAATGGCTTTTTTTACCCCCATTTCCTAGAGAGACAAATGAAAGCACAGAGAAGTGAAAGTACTTGCCTAAATCTACTGGAAGCAACACGATGGCCGGGAATTTACTAAAAACCCTCTGTTTCAGATTCCAGATCCATGGTTAATCATTCAACAGGGCTGTTGTTAAAGGAGCAGGACATGGGATGGCCGTTTAGGAACAGCTCAGGATTGCAGCTCCCAGTGAAAGCGCAGAGGGTGAGTGGACGCCGCGTTTTTATTGCCCACAGACTAGGAAATTCCCGGGCAGAGGTGCTCCACGCTCGCCAGCGCGGCTGTTGTGGCCAGCGCTGCTGTGCGGGCCAGCGCCGGCCGGCGCCGACCAGCGCCGCTGCTCTGCCCCGCGCGGCTGCTTTGTCGGCGCCCCGGAGCCGTGGTTCTCCGTACAAAATACACCGGTCCGGGTGCCCTTTTGGCTGGCGATTGGAGCCACGGGAAGTCGCCCATATGCTGGTTCAAAAAGGGGACTGAGCAGAGAACCAGGACAGTAGATTCCAGGGCAAAAAAAAAAAAGAAAAAAAAGCGCCACAAACCTCAGTGCCGCTGTTTAAGCCAGCGCAGTGAGTGGCCACAGGGGAAAACAAACAGACCCCGGCGCCTCTTCAACAGGCGACTGGAACACCAACTTAAAAAAGGCTCTGAGGCAGGGAGCCAGGCGATCAGGCTCGGCTGGCCCCACCCCCACAAAAGAACAGCAACCAGAAACTCTGGATTGAGAATTTCACAGCAAGCGCAGCTGAACCCGGGACAGTCCAGCTCTGTGGGGGAGGGGCGTCCGCCATTACCGAGACAGCCCGCCGTTGCCAAGGCAACCCGCCATTGCTGAGGCAGCCCGCCGTTGCCAAGGCAACACGCCACAGCAGAGACTCCGCCCCAACAGAGGCGGGCCACCATCGCCAAAGCAGTTCTAACTACACCCATATAAACAGGACTGCAGGGAAGTTCACTCGGCAGCGGGGCGCAGCCCACAGCAGCTCAGCAAAGCTGCTATAGGCCGACAGTGACTAGGCTGCCTCCTTGCTGGGCTGAGCAGGTCTGAAGGA